ATAAGAATGCCTTGTACAAGGGGAAGAAGGAAGGGTACTCCTGGGAAAGGAAATGTTTTGGTTTGTAGATAAATGAGATGTAGGCCTGTGAAAATGTTTGAATTGTTATATGTTTTTCATATACTTTGTAACTAAAAATGTTTCATTCTGGACAACATTGTTATGCTATGGTCAACTCAGTTTTCTGAATATACCTTTCTGACTTTACCGAGGCTTGTGCTTCTGAAGTTAGCCAGTACCTGACACATTTGTAGCATGTCCAACTGCAGGAAAACATATGAACATACCTCTGCTGATCCCTGTGGTCTACAAGGTCTACAAGGACAAAATGGCTGGTTTGTTTAGGGGAACTTCATTTTTTAAAGGTGGATTTGGAGGGTATTTCCATACCGTGGATCAAAGATTGATCAGAACAGAGATTGCAGTCAAGAAATAAGAAGACTAGGGAGATCATCACACAGCTTAAAATAATGACTTACCCAGCTGCAACCTGAATTAGACTTCACCTTGGGAGAGGTAAATCACTTTTCTAAGCTGTGTGATAATCTCCAAGGAATGGAAAAGGCAGCCATGAAAGAACTAGACAAGATCCTGAAGAGTAAAGATAAACATCTGAGAACTAAAGTAAGAATCATCCAATCCATTGTGTTCTCCATCAGCAAGTATATATGTGAGAGCTGGACAGTGAAGAAAGCGGATAGGAAGAAAATTAATTCATTAGAAATGTGGTGCTGGAGGAGAGTGCTGAGGATGCCAGAAAAACAAATGGGTCCTAGAAAAGATCAAGCCTAAACTCTCTTTAAAGTCAAGATGATGAAACTGAGGCTGTTGTACTCTGGACACATCATGAGAAAGCACAACTAATTAGAAAAGACAATAATGCCAGGAAAGGTAGAGGGAAGTAGAAAAAGAGGAAGACTGCACACCAGATGGATAGAGTCAAGCCTGAATCTACAAGTCCTAAGCAGACCAGTGGAAGGGGGGGGGGGGGGGGGGGGGGCTTGGAGATGTCTCATCCACAGGTTCGCCATGAGTCAATGTCAACTCAGGCACAGCTTACAACAACAACAACTGGAAGACATAGCTACTGAGATGTAACTAATGGCACATGCATGTTTCACACTGCAGGATCTCAGCCTTTATGTGATGGTACTTCCCTTCCCAATTTTGTATACTCTTCCATCTAATATTATACATGCACTGACAATTTTTATTTTTAGGTGCACACTGAAGACATATCTGTTTATGTCACCAGCCATAATGGCTGAGGAATTCTGGAGGTTGCAATCCCCCCAAAAGTAAATGTTTTTAGCTCTGAAGAGAAGTGTTTAGTTCATAGAGAAGGAGCTGATCAGAGAAGACACAGTTGTTAACTGTGTGTGGTGCTAGTAAGACTGCTCCTCACACTGCTGAAAGGAAGCTGTTTGACACCATTTTAACTGTCATGACTCAGTGCTATGGAATTCTGGAATTTATAGTTCTGTAATATATTTAGCTTTCCATGTCAGAGAGCACTAGTGTGTCACCACGCTACAAAACCCAGAATCCCATAGCATTGAACCATGGTAGTTAAAGTGGTGTCAAACTGCTTTAATTCTCCAGCAGCTTCAGTTGTGAAAAAGAAATGCACATTGTGACCTGAAAGCTGCTAAATCCTAAGCATTAAATAAATGGGAGAATAACTACATCAAAGATAATCTGTCAGTAGCAGCTGGAATAGCATAGATTGGTGTTTGGTAGAGATGTATCTAAATGTAGCCTGTTCTAGAAGGACCAACCTCTTTATTTTCTGGCTTGGTCTCAGATCATTTATAAGCCATGAGCTCAGCCTATGTAATCCATGAAGTCTGTTGAACCCTGGAATGTTTCCTCTTTTGAAGGCATCGAGGCATTGAGGTCCTGCCAAATAAAAAAAACTGTCGAGCAGCTGAAACCAGAAGGGTGATTTTCTCCAAAATGCAAAGATAAAAGCCAGACCTAGAAGGAAGCAAAATTGCCAGAAATGAGAGGATTGTGTATACTAAGGTCACCAATCATGGGCAGATCCATGACGCATTGATTGGCATGATCAAAACAAACACAATTTTAGCAAAAAAGAAGAAGTAACAAATCAGAATATACAAGTGTATCGGACATGCATATGTCCATGCACATTTCGGCACATATGTGGGCACTCAATATTGCAATTTATTAACAAGTCAGTGTTGCACAACTTTATAAGCATAATGTTACACTCTGTCACTCTCATGAAGGATCTCTGCCCCTGAATGGATGATAAAATAGACCATCAACCCTACTTCTAATGTCCATGTCTTAAGCCAGAAGTTTGGATAGTGTATAAGTATGCTGCCACAGTACAAGTACAGATACATGAAAGGTACATCCTGAGGGTGTACTTTTCTTGCTTCCCTTTCATTTGTTTTATAATTTCATAGTTCAGTAAGACAATTTTAGCTTCTGAAATTAATGGTCTTCTGCCTATTCCATCCCCTATGCTCCTGATGCTAACATGTGGCACATCTGAATTTGGATAACTTTTTGCTTATTCTACTGGGTAGAGCCTTCCACTATTGTCCTGAAGTTCTGCAGTCAAGGGTCAAGCAAGGAGAAGGAGCAAGACAAAGAAGAAAAATGGTTGACATTTTATAGCCTTTCTTCCTTACATTCTTCTCAAGCTGAACTCGGAGCACTACGGCTTTTACCTCAGCAAATGTCTACTGTCTGAAAGAATTTGTTTGTTTCCTCATTTAAAAAAGAATGTACTAGAAATTAGACAAACCCAAGCTGATTTCTTTGTACAGAACAAGGAATAAATGGATCCAGGTGTAAATGGAAATAGGTGTTGAGTTCTCTTCCATCTTAACATGGACTTAACCTTCTCCCCCAAATTTCTCATCATCATGTACAGATGTGAGAGGTGGACAGTGAAGTAAGCTGATAGAAAGAAATTCAAAAATTGTTTGAAATATTGTGAATGTGGCACAGGAGAAGAATGTGGAGGATACTGTGGATGGCCCAAAAGACAAACAATGAATCCTATAATAGATCAAGCCAGAACTCTCCCTGGCAGCCAAGATGATTAAGTTGAAGCTCTCATATTTTCAGCCACACTATGAGAAGGCAGACCTCACTAGAAAAGACAATGAGCCTTTACAGACTGCCAGAAATAATACAACTTGAGTCCACTTTAACTGCCCTAGCTCAGTGCTAGGGAATCATGGGAATTGTAGTTTATTGTGGCACCAGAGCTCTCTGACAGAGAGGCTCAATGTCTCAGAAAAAAAACTACAATTCCCATGATTCCCTAGCACTGAGCCAGGGCAGTTAAAGTGGACTCAAGTTGCATTTTTTATGGCAGTCTCTAAAAGTCCAATAATGCTAGGAAAGGTGGAAGGCAGCAGAAAGAGAGGAAGACCACATACTAAATTCAATCAAGGAGGCCATGTCCCTGAGCCTGTAGGACGTGAGAAAATGGTTGAGGACAAGGTCTCTTGGAGATGTATCATTAACAAGGTCACCATGCGTCAAGGTCAATTTGAAGGCAGTTAACAACCCCCCCCCCCTTTCTTTTTAACCAGAAAAGTTAAATCTCTGATACTATTGAAGGGAGTATTCCTTTACCTGAGCACCTAATAGGATGCTACAAGGCACTCTGCATGACACACACAGCTTTTTTCTCAAAAACCTTTTGGCTGGTCACCTTTATCTTATGCCTCACTCTGCCTACTGGTAGGATTGATCATATTTGAGGTGGGTGGGAACAGTTTTCTTTCCTGACATGTGAATTCAATTTTTTGAAATCATGTTGAGAGCTTGCTTTGTTCCTTTTGAGGAGCCTTCTCAACTGGAAGCCAGACATACCTTAGAAATGTAGAGCACCATGGTGGTTATTCCAATCTATTTCTTGCATTCAAAGCTACCATTCCATTCGTGGTCACT